CCTAAGGGCGACGGGCCGGGGCCTAGGGGGGGCGACGGGCGACGAGCCGGGGCCTAGGGTCGACGGGCGACAGGCTGGGGCTAGGGGCGACGGGCCGGGGCCTAGAGGGGCAACGGGCGACGGGCCGGGGCCTAGGGGCGTCGGGCGACGGGCCAGGGCTAGGGGCGACGGGCCGGGGCCTAGGAGGCGACGGGCGACGGGCAGGGGCCTAGGGGCGACGGGCGACGGGCCGGGGCCTAGGGGCGACGGTAGGCCGCACAAGGGCGGCGCACTGGGCAGCAGGTGCGGCTAGTGGGGCAGCGCAATGGTGGGCCCAAAAAAAATCGGTCCTACCAAAGGACCTGCTCTGAAATCATGTCAGAATAACGAACGAGAATGAATGAACTATGAAAGAGTTGGGTACAAGTAATAACCCTAATTGGGTTGTACCCCTTATGGGCTACCCCACCATAGCCTACACAAATGTAAGCCCTAGAACATTATGACACTGCTCGTGTCGCCTACTATCGCACCAGATTCTACTATGGCACCATCGACTTGGTCACCCCTCCCTGCCACGCCTTCGTGGCATGCACTTCCGCCTCCTTGTCTCTGGTCTTCCCAGGTCTCTGCCTCCCCTCCCGCCCTCGCCTGCCCCGCCCTGCCTTCCTTGCGTCGAGGGGCAGCAGCGCGCCGCTCCTCACTCCTCCTCGTTTCCCCCGACAATTGCTCCCCTGCAGACTCTCCACATGGACGTGTGGGGCCCAGCCCGCGTTAGTGGACAGGACCGCGAGCGCTACTTTCTGCTGGTTGTTGATGACTACACGCATTACACCACAGTCTTCCCCTTGCGCAGCAAGGGTAAGGTCCCTAATGTCTTGATCCCTTGGATTCGCGCAGTCCGTCTCCTGCTCCGCGAGCGTTTCCGCCAGGACCTTCCTGTCTTGCGTCTCCACTCTGACAGAGGTGGTGAGTTCTCCTCCGACCTCTTGCGGGACTTTTGTCGTGGGGAGAGCATTCTCCAGTCATTATCGCTTCCGGCCTCCCCGCAGCAAAATGGGACTGCTGAGCACCGCATTGGCTTAGTCATGGAGGTCGCTCGTACCTCCATGATCCATGCGGCTGCTCCCCATTTTCTGTGGCCGTTTGCGGTCCGGTACGCTGCGCATCAGCTCAACCTCTGGCCCCGTGTCAGCTTGCCGGAGACCTCGCCTACACTGCGTTGGACGGGGAAGGTTGGCGATGTGTCGGTGCTGCTAGGGGTGCTGCTAGGGGTGCTGCGTTTGGGGGTGCCAAGCCTGCGCGTGCGGAGCCTGGGGGTGTTGAGCATGCGGGTGCGGAGCCTAGGGGTGCTGAGTCTGAGGGTGCGAGGTCTGGGGGTGCTGAGCCTTGGGGTGCGGAGCCTGGTGGTACTGAGCCTACGGGTGCGGAGCCTGGGGGTGCTGAGCCTGCGTGCGGAGCCTTGGGGTGCTGAGCTTGGGGGTGCTGAGCCTTAGCGTGCGGAGCCTGGGAATGTTGAGCCTGAGCGTACTGAGCCTCGGGGTACTTTGTCTACAGGAGGTCCTCCGGGTGCCTTGTCGCGGTGGGAGCTTCTCTCTCCACCGCAGCTGCGTGAGTGGTTTGCTCGGCGCACCCGCCTTCGGAGTGGAGTTGCTAGAGCTAGAGGTGCTGTAGGAGTTGGAGCTGGAGGCACTGGAGCTGGAGCTGCTGGAGGAACTGGAGCCGCTGGTCCCGGAGGTGCTCATACTAGAGGTACTGGAGCTGCTGGAGCTGGAGGTGCTATAGGATTTGGAGCTGGAGGCACAGGAGCTGGAGGCACTGGAGCTGGAGCTGCTGGAGGTACTGGAGCCGCTGGTCTCGGAGGTGCTCGTACTCGAGGTACTGGAGCTGCTAGAGCTAGTGGTGCTGCAGGAGTTAGAGCTGGAGGCACTGGAGCTGGAGCTGCTGGAGATTCTGGAGCCACTGGTCCTGGAGGTACTGGAGCTGCTGGAGCTGGTGGTGCTGCCGGCGTTGGAGTTGGAGACCCTGGAGCTGGAGACACCGGAGCTGGAGGCGCTGGCCCTGGGGGTGCTGGTGCTGTTGGTGATGGTTTTGGAGACACTGGACGGCCGCGACCGTACTTCGTTCCCCTGCTTCAGCAGGTTCTTGGTCTCCCGTCTTCTACTTGCCTTACTCCTCCCTTACTGTGTCCACCGCCTGACTAGTCGCAGCCGCCGTTACAGCCAGCCTCCCCACTGCCTGATCCTTCTCCTTAGACTGAGCAGACCGGAGGTCTTACAGAGCGTCATGAGCCTGTGTCTCGTCTTGTCTCGCCTGTTCGCGCTGTTCGCACTATTCGTCGTGTTCCTCGCCCGCGTCCTCCTCCTATCCCTGGCACGCACCATATGGCACTTCGTCCTTCCTCTGTTCCACTGCTTGTCCCTCTGCCGTCTCCTCCTGCATCCTCTCTTGCTGACGGTCCGGACGCTGAGTCTAACTTAGTTCGTGCTGCCAATCCTACTGTCCCACGTCTTCTAGCCACTGTTGTCACTGACCCTTCGTTTGAGTCTGCTGCTGCGTCTGCCCTAGTTGCTGAGCTTGTTGACTTTGCTGCGGCCTGTCGTCTTGACTACGCCGCTAGTCTTGTTGCTGAGTCTGAGTCTGACTGTCCTCCGTCCGTCGGGGGTGAGTTTGCTCTTAGCACGGACGTCCTTGAGGACAGGCAGGAGGACTTTGAGTGTTTTGCAGCTGCTGTACCTCAACTCATGTCCATGCTGATTGCACCAGAGGGAGACCCGGATGCACCAGACATCCCGACCCCGCACTCTTACGCAGAGGCGATTACGGGTCCCTACTCCTCTCAGTTGCAGACAGCCATGGACGCAGAGATGGCATCCTGGAAGTCCACAGGCACTTACGTTGACGCAGTTCCCCCTCCTAGGGCGAACATATTCGATGGCATGTGGATTTTCAGGGTGAAGCGGCCGCCGGGTTCTCCGCATGCCTTCAAGGCTCGTTACGTTGCACGAGGCTTCAGTCAGCGACAAGGATTTGAATTCTTCCAGACCTTCTCCCCTACCCCAATGATGACTACTCTTCGGGTACTGCTGCGCGTCGCCGCTCAGCGTGACTACGAGCTGCACTCTATTGACTTCAGCACAGCTTTCTTACAAGGCAACCTGCACGAGGAGATCTGGTTGCGCTGCCCACTTGGCTTCACTATGTCGTTTCCTGCAGGTACCCAGTGGAGGCGGCCAGTCTACGGTCTCTGCCAGGCACCTCGCGAGTGGCATGACACACTGAGGACGACGCTTGCGGCTCTTGGGTTTGCTCCTTCTACTGCTGACCCGTCGCTGTTTCTACGCACCGACAATTCGCTACCGCCGTTCTACGTCCTCGGGTACGTTGACGACTTGGTCTTTGCCACTGCTGACACTGAGGCACTGGCCCTTGTGAAGTTGGAGCTGCAGAAGAGACACACCTACACTGACCTGGGTGAGCTGCGCAGCTATCTTGGCTTGCAGATCACCCGGGACAGAGCACGGCGCACCATCACCCTGACTCAGTCACACGTGGTGCACCAGGTCCTTCAGCGCTTCGGCTTCCGGTACTCCTCGCCACAGTCCACTCCTTTGCCTACCGGTAACTCGCTCTCATCTCCACCTTCGGACGAGTCCGTAGAGCCGAGTGGCCCGTATACAGAGCTTTTGGGCTCCGGTTCTGTTTCTTGGCAGTCTACCCACTCGTCTTTTGTTCTCAGTTCCACTTGTGAGGCTAAGATCTATGCAGGGGCCATGGCTGCACAGGAGTTACGCTGGCTCACCTACCTGCTGGCCGACTTGGGAGAGCGGCCTCGTTCTTCTCCAAATCTGTAAGTAGACAACAAGGTCATGATTGCCTTGTGTCCGGAGCACAGACTGGAGCACAGAACGAAGCACATCGCTCTGCGTTACTTCCTTGCTCGAGAGTTGCAGCAGCGTGGTCAGCTTCGTCGTGCTTACGTGGCCACTAGGGCCAACACTGCTGATATATTCACCAAGGCACTTCAGTCTGGTGATCATCAGCGTTTCTGTACTATTTTAGGCCTTGTGCATTCCTTGCCTCACTTGCTCACTGCTTGACTTTGCTTGTACTGTGATCTATGTACATCTACCTGTATGCTTACTCTTGTTAGGGTATGATCACTGTACTGTTTGTTCTCTTTTAGATAACTCTGCATGTGAACTGGCCTTGTGGCCTTTGCTTGTGCTCGGAATGTGTGGTGACTTCGTGATCCACCCTGAGCTTGCTTTGCTTTTCTTGACTGGTCTTGTGACCACTTGTTCTCCCCCACTTTGCCTATGGGGGTGTGTCAAAATGTTATATAGCTTACTTTGTGTAGGCTATAGTGGGGTAGCCCATAAGGGGTACAACCCAATTAGGGTTAGTACTTGTACCCAACTTCTGTTCAATGCATTCATTCTCGTTCTAGTTTCTAACAGAGGTGACCCTCACGAAACCCTCGCGGGACCCCATTGAAACCTTCCCAACTTGTTGGAACGAATCGTATGCAAAGCCGCGTCCGCGCTGCCGGGTCCACCGATAGTTTCACTCTTCGTGGTGATGATAACGACAACGGCATTCGCGAAGCAATCAGCGACGAATGCGATGGACTCTTCGTCGCAATCGTCGCCTCTCTTCCCACCCACGCCTCTGCCTCCTACACAGCATCGCGCCTCGAGTAGCTCCTTGCACTCCTCAGACTCCTCAGACTCCTCAGACTCCTCAGACCCCGAGGTAGACCCTCCTCCGCGCCACCCATCATCCAACGAGGCGCGATCCTCTCCTTACAGCCTCCGCAGCATGCCTCTCCGCGTCTCGCCTCCTACCTTTGCCTATAAAGCCACCGCCATGGCTCTCACGAATCCATCAGCTCCTGTCCGCAGCTCTAGTCTGCTCTTCTCTCTCTCTTCACTGAACACCTCATTCTTGAGTCCACTCGAAAACCTGAACAGCCGTCACCAGCCGCCTTCCATTTCTTCCAAGCTCTCTCACAACACCTCATGGTGAGCGTAATCCGCGTGCTGCTGCTGGCAGCGATCGAAGTGGGGCTGCTGGCGACGGCAGCGATTGCAGCGAGGGACATGATGAGTGGAGCGAGGGGGGTGGTCCCTGGAGAGGCAGGCAGCAGTGCTGGTGGCAGCAGCGCCGGCGGGGCGGAGCAGCAGATCAAGGGCGCACACATTCTGGTGGCTGAGACCTTTGCTCACCACGCACCTCTGCCCGGCTACCTCGACCACATCCCCCGCCGCCAGGCCCTCGCCACCAGTACGCGCTGCTGCTCCCCTTCACTCCTGCTCTACCCGCATTGGTCTCTTTGTGCTGCTGCTCCCCTTCCTCCCACTGCTGTCAATGCAACCCTTGCCTCTCATTTCTCCTCTCCCCGTGGCTCTCACTTCTTTCATCCCCTTTCCTCCATGTCTCTGCTCCCCGTGCCTCTCATGTCTCTGCTCCCCCTGCCTCTCATGTCTCTGCTCCCCGTGCCTCTCATGTCTTTGCTCCCCGTGCATCTCATGTCTCTGCTCCCCGTGCCTCTCATGTCTCTGCTTCCTTTTCCTCCCCCTGGACGATGTGAATGGTTGTGTCGAACCCACTGCTCCCTCTCTCCATCCCAATTCCTTTCTTCCAGCGACCAATGCCCAACAGTGACGGCCAGAATCCTTAACTCGTTCTGTTTTCCTTCCTCACCTCCTTCCCCCCTCCCTCCTCTCAGCATGTGGGGGCATGACGGTGACGATCGGAATCCTTACATTTTTCTGTTTCTTTTCCTCCCCTACTCCCTCGCCTGCAGCATGTGGGCACACGACGGTGACAATCTGGTCACAGCACCTGGGGCCGTACGACCTGCACAACCTAGCCCCACTTCTGCTCCCTCCCTCCCGCTTACCCCCAGCCTTCTTCCCCCCTCCTCTCTGTCCAGCGTGTGGGTGCACGACGGTGACGATCCGCTCGCAGTACCTTGGGCCGTACGACCTGCACAACCTAACTAAATAACCCGAGCCCAACCTCACGCAATACCAGACAGGCGACATCTTCGTGCAGACCACACCGGGGTACTGTGAGATGCAGATGAACCGCGGTGCTAGCGGCACTCTGCAGATGCTCTCCGGGGAGACGGTGAACATTGTGTATGCGTGGACGGTGAACATTGTGTATGCGTGGACGGTGAACATTGTGTGTATGCGTGGACGGTGAACATTGTGTGTATGCGTGGACGGTGAACATTGTGTGTATGCGTGGTCGGTGAACATTGTGTGTATGCGTGGACGGTGAACATTGTGTGTATGCGTGGACGGTGAACATTGTGTGTATGCGTGGTCGGTGAACATTGTGTGTATGCGTGGACGGTGAACATTGTGTGTATGCGTGGTCGGTGAACATTGTGTGTATGCGTGGACGGTGAACATTGTGTGTATGCGTGGTCGGTGAACATTGTGTGTATGCGTGGACGGTGAACATTGTGTGTATGCGTGGACGGTGAACATTGTGTGTATGCGTGGACGGTGAACATTGTGTGTATGCGTGGACGGTGAACATTGTGTATGCGTGGACGGGGGACTTCCGGCCCTGCGTGCAGGATCTGCGCTTCGGCAACGGCAACAGCTACTCCATGACCAACACCACCGAGTGCCAGACTGCTGCCGTCATCTAGACTGTGCAACACCCGTTCACACCCTTAGAGATGGGATGATTCTCTGCTGCTTTCTGCTAGTGTAGCTCTTCATTTTTCTTGTGGGGATACGCAATAATGCATGTCTGGCAGATGAAGAGGGACGTTCCAGTAGTATTGTTTACGGTATGTTAGTGTTGCCCTGCAGGCATGTGCATGTTTAGTAGGTACTACGGTACTACTGTATAATATCGTCTTGGGACATGTTCTCAGCGAGCAGCAAACTTATTCAGGCTTAAAGCAAAAGATAGACAGTAAAAACCTTCTGTAAAACTAAGATCTCAACAATCCGAGCTCAAGAACTTCAACAGTAGAGTAAAACAAACATGTTTCGGCCGTTAAGGGGCTACCCTAGCAGGCCTTCATCAGTGCTAATGAAAGAAAACAGAGCTAAGCTACGCTTCAAGAAGAAACGAAGCCTCGGAAAAACTGATCTCTAGGTTATCTACACCAGGTCAGCCCGAAATCCGGGGACCAGTAGAAGTCACCCTTGAAAATTTCACCCTTGGAAATTTCTCAGGTGGCCACGTCCTCAATCCTTGGAGCGTCATCGTTGAAGTTCGAATTCGCATCTTCGCCAGGCAGCAACTGTGGAAGTCGCGCGCGTACCAGAAACCTGTTAAGGTTACAACCAATTTGCCATGCAACAAAAAACCTCTCCACATATAATCCGCGTGTAGTGAGTCGATTTTTGAGTCGACTCAAAAGGACCCCTAGCCCGAGACGAGCAGACACCGAAGTGTACTGCGTCTTCAAAACTAGGGGTCCACGGGATGGGAGAGAAATCTGTTGCCGGAGCGCCTGGTTAGCGATGGTAGTGGCGAGGAGTAACGAACGGTGAGCGAAAGTGACGCCTTGGAAGATTGGGTGCAGAAAAGCAGGAGGGTAACCACGGTCACGAAGCCGGCCGAAGAAAGCCTTCTTCGTTGCGAGGAAAGTCGCAGCTGATGTAGAGCGGAGCAGGTACCGCTTCAATTCTGCGCGAACGAAGGATTCCTTGCAGTGCCGTGGGTGGAAGGAAGCAAAGGGAAGATAGAGATACTTATTCATCGGCTTCTGAAACGTGCCGAAATCCAAAGTACCCTGTTCCTTAAACCGCGGTCCCTTGAAGAGAACCACGTCCAGAAAATCGATGGAGCAGTCCGAAACAGACCATGTAATCCGAATGTTAGGATCAAGCTCATTGAAGGTGCGCAGGTAGGCTTCCAGATCTGCCCGCGTCCCCGGCCATACGATTAGACCGTCATCGATGTAGCGCACATGGTAAAGAGGTAACGTTCCGGTCCACTTCCCCTTCAGTAACTCATCCAGGCGGCTCATGAACAAGATCGCGAAGCAAACTGCTACAGGTGTACCCATGGCGGTGCCTCGTAGTTGGTGAAAGATCCGGCCGCCGAACTCGACAAAACAGTTCCTCATGACCCAACCCAGAAGGGCCATGAGAGGTGGGGTGAGTTGCGGTTTCTCTCTCATCAGAAAACTGCTGACCGCATCAAGACCGCGCTCGATCGAAATGCTGGGGTAGAGAGCGGCTACATCATACGTCGCTAGAAGTACCGTCGTCGGAAACGTGGTGCGTTCGAGCGTTGTCAGCAGAGAGAGAGAATCCCGGAGGTATGTAGGACGATTCAAGACCAGCGGGCGAAGTTCAGCGTCAAGCCACTTGCTCACATTAGTCGTAGCCCATGAATGTGAGGCAGCGATCGGTCGCCCCACGGGTACTTTCTTGTGAAGCTTAGGCAAGACGTAGAACGCAGCTGGCCGCCATCCCCCGGGTGGTTCCTTAAAGAAATATTTCCAGAGACTGTCTGGAAAAGCCGGTCCCCACGTCACCTTCAAATCCCGCAGCTGCTGCAGAACACGTGGCGTCGGGTCGCGTTCAATCGGCTGGTACACTTCCGCATCTCCGAGATGTTCCATACAAAGGGCGATGTAGTGTTGCCGATCAAGGATAGTGACGCCAACGTTCTTGTCTGCAGGTTTGATGACGATACTGCAGTCGGCGGCGAGGGAGCGCAACGCCTTGCGAATTCCTGACGAGATATTGAAACCCCGCCGTGGCGTCGTCGCTTTCAGAAGGTAAGAGAGGTCGTTGTGGGCCTCCCTGAACACCGACTCCGGGACAACATCCCGATCGGGTTTCCAATCTGGGTTGCGCACACGGAAGCGTGACATCTCAGATGAATCCCCTTTATCCTTGAAGAAAAAGTGAAGAGAAATCCGTCGATGCAGTTGATCGAGATCTGCTTCGATGGAAGGGCTCCTGGTAGGCGTTGGCACGAACTTCAATCCCATCCCGAGTGCTCGTCGCTCATCGGTCGTTAAAACCTTAGCACTCAGGTTATGCACTCCGTTGTTTCGGACCCGCGACATGGCTTGTCGTGAAGTCAAACGGCCGAACCAACGAAGCGCGAGATCCCGCGCCATTACTTCTTCTTTGGCGGCCCTTTTGCGGGGCCGCCGCCTCCGTTTTTTGGAACCCGGGCCTGCTTCGGTGCTGCTTGGCCCTTCCCTTAGCCGTCGGTAGGAGTGACAGATTTCTTCTTTTTCCCCCGCTTCTTCTTCGCCTTGTTGTTCTGGGGCTTAGAGTCAGCGGCGGTGGTCGACGAAGAAACCTTCTTTTCCAACGTAATCTTCTGAAGCTTCGCAGATAGCTCTTTGTCCAGCTTCGCCGCGAACTCCTTGCGAAGCCGATCTTCGACCTTCTTTACGTGCTTCTGAACGATTGCGTCGACCGTCGGATCCAGCTCCATTCTGTCGATCTCCTCAGCCGCTGCAGCTTTCTTCAAATCTTCAGCTTCACGTTTTTTCTGCCGTTCCAACTCCTGGATGATGATCTCATCCCTGGCAATGGCTATGTCGGACTGCGCCTTCTCGATGCAAGCCCCCTTAATCTTCCTGTACTTCTCCCTGGTAGCATCAGATACCGCCAGGTCAGGGTTCTCCGAAAGACTTTTCAGGTAGTCCTCAAGCTTTGTCGCCAGAGTCGTCACGTGCAGGTTAGAAGCCGCCAAAATCTCCTCGACCTCCATCTCCTTCGAAGCGATGAAGTCCTTCTGGATACGCTTTTGATTCTCCAGATGAACAGCAGCAACCGAAGCTGCAGACTTTTCCCGAACAGAAGGGTATTTCGTCTGGAACTCAACTGCTTTGGTGCGAATACTGTGAAGAAGCACACCCTGTTCATCAAGCGTCTTCATCTTCTGAAGCTTGGACTTCGCCTTCAAGAGTGATTTGAAATCCGCCCGAAAACCCTTGACCGCCACAGTAGTCCAGCCTTTAAAGCGCTCAGGAATGTTGAACTGCTCAGGAACAGCCGGGTTAGCGCTCGTGGAAGCAACAGCAGGTGCTACCGCAGGAGCAGCGTTCGAAGCGGGATCCATCTCCATGGCGGGAGGAGAAAATGTTTGCTCGTCGTGCGATGTCGGTCCGCGAGTTGGTGCAGTATGTTTTGCTCCTTCAAGTTCGCGAAGGCGTTGTCGCTTGTGCGTGCGATACCCCGCGTAAGTCTTGGGAACACCTGCCTCGTGGATCACAATAGCAGAACTGCCCTCGTTAAGTTCGGCGTCGTCTGAGTCAAGCGTAAGTGCCCACTGGTCTTGGGACATGTTCTCAGCGAGCAGCAAACTTATTCAGGCTTAAAGCAAAAGATAGACAGTAAAAACCTTCTGTAAATGAAATTTTTTGAAAGTGTGTGTGTAACACTTTCTAAAAATGTGTATTTTGAAAGCGAAGCTGCTTATAATGCAGCAATGGCAACGGCGAAGTGCTAGACGCTCTTCGCCAACTATATAGCAGGGGGTGGAGGCCATTTGGCCTCCACCCACGTCTTCGTTTGAAATCTCAAATGTCTTATTTCATTCTCGTCCGACGACTTCCCGTTCTCCTCAGTCGCTCACTTCTCTCTAGTAGGCATTAACTAGATTGACATAGCACAACACACGTTTCAGAAATGTCTTGCGGGTACACCCGTCCGCACAATAGGCGCGCACGTCGAGGCTAATAAGGCGACAGCGCCACTGGCGCACGTGGCGACGAAATCGCCACAGGCACGCGTGGCGACGAAATCGCCACAGGCGCGCGTGGCGACGAAATCGCCACAGGCGCTCGTGGCGACGAAATCGCCACAGGGCGCGTGGCGACGAAACCGCCACAGACGCGCGTGGCGACGAAATCGCCACAGGCGCGCATGGTGAAATCGCCAGAGGCGCACGTGGAGTCGAAATCGTCAGCGGCGCAAGTGGCGCCAGTGGCGCTCATGGCGCCGAAATGGTCAACATCGCCACTGCCGCATGTGGCTACGAAATCGCCAGTGGCGTGCAAGAACCCAGGGGCGCGTCCAGCGGAAGTCGGTACCAGCAGGCATGATGGCGAAATCTCCAGAAGGCGAGATTCCAGTGGCGCGCCAGAGACAAACTGGCGGCAGATGCGCTTCTGATGTTGAAATTTGCCAACGAATAAATTATTACTTTGCATATGTTCCCACCTCTTCTTTGTTCCTATCTTCGATTCTTGTTCGTCTGCGTTTTTCTCTCATGCTATTTCTTATTTTTTATCGCAGTAAATCGGTGCGAGGCAACTACCTTTGGGTTGCCATGAAAGACTACCGGCGAAGAAAGACTGCGGCAAAACATTTGGCACAACCCATGCGCTCCCGTGGGAGATTGGGACCGGGGGCCTCGCGCCAGCCGGAAACGGACCGGTGGGTCCTGTGCGGTGCTGGCCAGCGAGCTCCCCAGGGGGGAGGAGGACCGGTGGGTCCTGTGCGGTGCTGGCCAGCGAGCTCCCCAGGGGGGAGGAGGACCGGTGGGTCCTGTGCGGTGCTGGCCAGCGAGCTCCCCAGGGGGGAGGAGGACCGGTGGGTCCTGTGCGGTGCTGGCCAGCGAGCTCACCAGGGGGGAGGAGGCCCGGTGGGTCCTGTGCGGTGCTGGCCAGCGAGCTCCCCAGGGGGGAGGAGGACCGGTGGGTCCTGTGCGGTGCTGGCCAGCGAGCTCACCAGGGGGGAGGAGGCCCGGTGGGTCCTGTGCGGTGCTGGCCAGCGAGCTCCCCAGGGGGGAGGAGGACCGGTGGGTCCTGTGCGGTGCTGGCCAGCGAGCTCCCCAGGGGGGAGGAGGACCGGTGGGTCCTGTGCGGTGCTGGCCAGCGAGCTCCCCAGGGGGGAAGAGGACCGGTGGGTCCTGTGCGCTGCTGGCCAGCGAGCTCCCCAGGGGGGAGGAGGACCGGTGGGTCCCTTTCTGGCTCGTGAGTTTAGTTATATATTGGTCAAATACCAGGGCTAAAGCCCAAAGTGCAAGGTTTAGACGCGATCACATTTGAGTTGGCTGGTTGAACAAAATTTTGGTGAGTTTGAAATGATGCACAACTATAGCAGATGAGTACGAATACCAAAGGCTTAAACCTTGACAGATTTACCGTATCCGGATACAAGTTGCATGCACGCTTCGTAATGTGAGCACGGTTGTGACCGCAGCAAGGGTTGGGCTCCTACAAGCATCACATCCATCATTACTCAGAATACTAACGCCCGCTGCCCGTGTCCTCCCATACTGCTTGCGAGTTCGTGTCTGAAGCTCACGTGTGAGCCAACGCTTAGGGCGACACTCCAAGGCAACAGCAGAGAATACTGCACCTCGATCAACATCGGTGCCAGCCTTCTTCTTCGCGCATGATTGGAACTCCACCGACATGTCGTCGCATAAACCATCAACAACATTTACCGTCTCCGCAGCATCTCCCCGTCTCATGTCTCAGAAGACCCATTTGAAACGAAGCTCGTTGCCATTGCAAACACAAGAAAGCAAGCTTTCTAAATATGAAATTTTTTTAAAGTGTGTGTGTAACACTTTCTAAAAATGTGTATTTTGAAAGCGAAGCTGCTTGTAATGCAGCAATGGCAACGGCGAAGTGCTAGACGCTCTTCGCCAACTATATAGCAGGGGGTGGAGGCCATTTGGCCTCCACCCACGTCTTCGTTTGAAATTTCAAATGTCTTATTTCCCACCCACCCACCCTAGCAAAAATTGCATGTTGTCATGTGTAATGTAGGTACCATATATATCCCGGACGAGAATGATGTAATGCCCATTTGAAACGAAGCTCGTTGCCATTGCAAACACAAGAAAGCAAGCTTTCTAAATAACTAAGATCTCAACAATCCGAGCTCAAGAACTTCAGCAGTAGAGTAAAACAAACATGTTTCGGCTGTTAAGGGGCTACCCTAGCAGGCCTTCATCAGTGCTAATGAAAGAAAACAGAGCTAAGCTACGCTTCAAGAAGAAACGAAGCCTCGGAAAAACTGATCTCTAGGTTATCTACACCAGGTCAGCCCGAAATCCGGGGACCAGTAGAAGTCACCCTTGAAAATTTCACCCTTGGAAATTTCTCAGGTGGCCACGTCCTCAATCCTTGGAGCGTCATCGTTGAAGTTCGAATTCGCATCTTCGCCAGGCAGCAACTGTGGAAGTCGCGCGCGTACCAGAAACCTGTTAAGGTTACAACCAATTTGCCATGCAACAAAAAACCTCTCCACATATAATCCGCGTGTAGTGAGTCGATTTTTGAGTCGACTCAAAAATCGACTCATGTTTAGTAGGTACTACGGTACTACTGTATAATATCGTATCATTTATTCTCCTCTGTTATCAGCGTGAACTCCCATGAGATGGGATGCCTGTCTGTTGAGCTTTGCTGCTCCTGCTGCTCTCTGCTTCTCCCGCCTTCAGGCTGCTGCTCTGATTCCGTGGCTGTAGTGCACTCTGCTGCATTCTTTGTCCAGGAGGGGATGGTGGGGGGGGAGGGGAGGGGATACGGTATGCCTAGTAAATGAGGGAAGCTTGTACCTTTAGGTATGTTTTCATGCATCATGCATGGTGGAATGGGATGGATGCACTTGTGTATGGGTGTGAAGCTCATGAGCAAACAGCATTTCTAAAACCCTGTAGTTCACAAATAAATTAGCCTTGAACAGGAGGACACCTGTACCATAATCACCCGGACATACCACCCGCCGAAATTGTAGACCCCCCGGGTGGCTTGTGCGGGGTGGGTGATATAGGTAGTTGACCCCGTTTGTACTATACCCCCCCTTTTGGGGTGATTTTTTATAACACCCCCTTTTTTACACAGAATGCCTTATTTTAGGTGTTAACGAGTATGTGCAATGACGGGGGGACATCGCGACGATCACTTTTTGCACGAAATTACATGGTACGGTAATTTCGAAAGTATCTGCTGGGGTCACCTCCGTCCCACTTTTTCACTGTTGCAACGCTGGTAGTTCTTTCGCTATCAAGTGGCCAAAGAGGTGCCACCTCGCAACTTCGAGGAGTCAATGTTGTCGTCTAAACTGACAATCTCGCTTCCAACTGTGATGCTAAACCAACCTTGAAAACACCCAAGCTGCCTATTTATAGAAACCCTTACACTAAAAAAATGTCATATATATGCACCCGGGTGGTATGTAGCTTTTTCCTATGAGAAGCCCCCCCCCATTTTTTTGCTGTATTTAAAGACCCTAGGGTGTTATGTCCGGGTGATTACGGTATGTTTCTAGCTTAGAAAAGCACACCCACCCAACCCAAGCCAACCCCACCACATCTGCAGTTACTTCATGCAAGACTGACACCTCTGACAAGAGACCCTACTGTGTAACAAACAAAATAATCCCATCCCAGCAGCTAGACACAAGCTCATTCTGTCAAGGAAGGGCCTCTCGTCTCATGTCACGCCATCCGTTCCAAGCCCATGCCATGCCACCATCACCCCCGTCAAAGCACCTCCCCTTCCTTTATCCCGCTCAAAGCAGTTCCAGTGAGCCCACCAGGCGTAGGGTGGCATGCAGCTGCTTCTTGTCTGTCAGTGTTGGCATGAACCCATCCCCAAGCAGTCAAGGCCAACTCTTGAGACATGCAGCTGCTGCTTGTCTGTCACCTTCAGCGTACGGTAAACCCATCCAAGGCCGGCTCGACGATTGAGGCGCCTCGAAAGGCGTGCAGCTGCTTCGTGTCTCCCAGCTTCAGCGTGAACCCATCCCCAAGAAGTCAAGGCCGACTATTTTCTCCAAGCCCATGCAGTCATTACCCCCATCCCCGTCCCAAACCCTCCAGTTAAACCCGCCCAAATCAGTTCCAGTAAACGGCACGCCCGCCCAAAGCAGTTCTAGATGGTGGCGTGCAGTTGCTCCTCGTCAATGGGCTTGGGCACGAACCCATCCATGCCCGCCTCCTCACACCAAGCTCATGCAGTCATCACACCCCCGTGCAGTCCAAAACCCTCCCCTAAGCCCGGCCGAAGCAGTTCCAGAGAGTGGCGTGCAGCTGCTCCTCGTCAATCGGTTTCGGCACGAACCCATCCATGCCCGCCTCCTCACAGCGCGTGCGGCTGCCACTGATGACGTCAGCTGTCATGGCCAGGATGGGGATCGCTGCCGCCCCGCTCTCCCTCTCCCTCCGCCGGATCGAGCGTGTTGTCTCATAGCTGCAGATGACACGGGGGAGATGGTGATGTAAACCGAGTCAAAAGCTTGCACAATGCCCATTCACGAGCTCACCCATGATTGCATCCTCACCTTAATCCATCCATCCACACTCTGCTCACCCATCCGCACCACGTTCAACCGCACTGCAGTCAACCGTACCGCACTGAACTGCACTGCACTCACCCGTCCATGCCGGGCATCTGCACGTCCATGAAGATGGCATCGAACGGCTGCCCTCTCCCCTCCGCATCCTGCACGGCCTGCAGCGCCGCCATGCCGCTGTCCACCGCCTCACACAGCACCCCATAGCGCTGCAGCATGCGCGTTGCCACCTTCTGATTCACCACGTTGTCATCCACCACCTGAAATGCGAGGGGTGGAGAGGGGTGGAGAGGGGTGCGGTTGAAGCAACAAGGCCTTGCACAGCAAACCGTAGCGCTCCCCCATGCGTGCAGTCGCCTTCTGGTTCACCACGTGGCATCCACCACCTCGCGTTACAGGACTGGGTAGGGGTGGCCATGGCAAGGGGCGGCGATGGTGGGATGGGTGGGTGGGAAGCGCAAGGCACGGAACAAGGAAGCCGCAGTGTGAGGGTGGCAGGGGAAGGTGACGAGAGGCTGTACAGGGTGCTATGGTCGGGTCGTGGCTTACAGCGGGCGTCATTCACGGGAATGCGCTGGCTGGCAATGAGGGCGTGCATGGGCTTGCGGTGAGTTACCTTACCTCATGGATGGTGGCAGGCAGGCAGGCAACCCAATACCAATCCCAAGCCCCGCCCCAACCCCTCTAACCCCCGTGACCACTCACGAGAATGCGGCGACCGCCAATGAGCGCGTGCATGGCCTTGCGGCGCTGCTGCTTCTGCGTGTTGCTGCTGCGACTCGTGGTCATTATGCCCAACACCTGGAGGGGGGAGCGGGGTGGAGGGGGAGGGGTAGAAAAGATGGGATTGAAGAGCGATGTGAGACCGACAAGTTACGGAGCAGCGGCAATCAATCAGAAAACAGCTTCCTGACACCAGCCTCCCAACGGATGTTACCATGTTACCGGCAGTTATTTCTGTTGCCTAACAGAGAGCACGGTTTGGTGCGAGGACGTTCTCTGCTCTCACAGATCTCACCTGCACGAGACACGCGTCCACAATGGACTTGCACAGGGGCTTGAGCAGGCACACCTTGAAGCACCACACTGCACCGCACAGCTGCACTAGACCAGCCTCAGCTCTCACCTGCACCGGAACTACCTGCTCTTCAAGCTCTCACCTGCACCAGGCACGCGTCCACAATGGACTTGCGCAGCGGCTTGAGCAGGCACTCCTCGCAGCCACACGCCTCCACCTCACCCTTCTCATCCGCCTCCAACCGACACTACCTGCTCACCAAGCTCTCACTCCCCTGAGCCAGGGCAATGACTGCGCTTAGCTCTAACATCTCACCTGCACGAGACACGCTGCAACGATGGACTTGCGCAGCGGCTTGAGCAGGCGCTCCTCAAAGCCGCACGCCTCCACCTCGCCCTTCTCATCCGCCTCCAACCGACACGCCACCAGAATCAGCGGCGGTTGCTTGCGCCCCTTGCTGCCCCCCACACCAGCACCACCACCACTGGTACCATTGGCAGCAGCACCTGCTCCTGTCTCCCCACCCTCCTCCTGAATCATCTCCCCCACGCCCCTCTCCCCTGCCCCCTTCTCTGCCACAGCAAACGCCTCTCGTATCGCCTTTGCAACCTGAAACCCCGTTTTGGGGCCAAACGCGTCCTTATCCACAAAGATGGCATCCCACGGCCGAATGTCATCCTCAAACGTCGCCGACCCAGGCAGCGGCGGGCCGCGTAGGAACCCCCGTGTGGCAATCGCAGGCACCGACGCCGCGTCAGTGGCCGGAATCGGGGTAATCCCGAGGCGGGATAAGACGCTGCTCGCCACCCGCTGCCGAACCTGCAGCCCGTCGACCACTAGCACGGCTCGGTTGAGGAATTTCTCAATCATGGCAGCAGCATCGGGGTCGTCGTCCAGCATCGGGAGGAGGTCCGGGGGCAGCGAGGTGGGGACGGAGCGGGGGATGCGTGGCGGCATGAGGCCGAGGTTGACAGTGAGCACAAAGGTGGTGCCCACGCCTGGCTCGCTCACAAACGTCATGTCGCCCCCCATCAGCTTCACGAGGCGCTTCGAGATGGTCAGTCCGATGCCCGTGCCTCCGTGCGTGCGCGCCGTGCTGCTCTCCGCCTGGGGGGAAGGGGGAGGGAGAAGGGGAGAAAATGGGGCAAGGGGGAGGGAGAAGGGTTAAGGAAGTGGGCTCGCTGACTAACGTCATGTCGCCCCCCATCAGCTTCACCAGTGCTTTGAGATGGTCAGCCCGATGCCCGTGCCTAGCGAGGCCATGCATCTGTACATTCACAGCACTTTTCACGAACCTGTGTGAATTTTGAGATTTCTCAACAGTGACTTGTACGGACCTGCGTGAAGGGCTGGAAGATCTTGGACTGAGACGACAGCGGAATACCTGCCCCAGTATCCTCGCACGTGATGAGCAGCGTGATCGTATCCTCCCTCTTCTCCCTCTCCTTCTCCCCCTCCGCGCCCTCCCCCTCCCCCACCATTATCTCCTCCTCCCCGCCCTTCCCCCCGCCCTCCATCTCCTCCATCCCCCCGTCCTGAATCCCCACAGACACCCCATCCTCCATTTGAGAATACCCCGGCTGAAGCAGAGCAGGGAAGCACCCCACCAGGTCGCCTGTTCCGCAGCTAGGCTGCCCCATACCCACCCCTGCCGCCCCCCCCGGCCCGCACACTAGCGAGGTCGGGCGGCCGGACAGCGTCTGGTAACCGCGCGAGATGCTCCGGCCAATCACGGCGAGCGAGGCCGAAATCGGCCCGGTCTGACGCAGCGGCGAGCACGCCAGCTGGACCTCCGCGGAGTGCAGCCCCCAGCCGTCGCCAGCTGTCAGCTTGCGATTGGCCAGCGCGAGGGAGGCGGGCGGGGCGGAGGCGGCGAGAGTGTTGAAGCGCGAGCGGAGGGTGAGGGGCGAGGGGAGGGAGGAGGGGACGGGCATGGCGGCGAAGGGCGCGGAGATGTGCACGAAGATGTGGCCGCGCTGGGTGAACTTGATGCTGTTGCCGATGAGGTTCACCACCACCTGGCGCAGCCGAATGCGATCCCCCACCACCACCTCCGGCACGTTCGGATCCACCAGTGCTGCCACTGAAGGGAGGGGGGATTGGAAGAGGAGAAAAGAAGGGAGAAGGAGAGGAAGAAGGGTTGGTGAGTTGGTGGAGCAGGCAGATGCAAAGATGGCACTCAGTGAGACAGTCCAGCCGTTTACCAAGCACAGTGCACTCACCCGAAGGTCGTGAGACTCAGTGTTCTGACAACTCTCACGAACAAAAACCCCAAGCATACAGAACTCACGATCAAGTCCTAGATTGCAAGCTTAGTGTCTTTCGCAACGCTCAACAACACACGGAACCCACGCTCTAGCCCGAAAACTCGTGCTCTAGCCCCATAACTCACGCTCTATCCACAGAACTCACGTTCAAGCCCCAGGTCCTGAGACTTGGTGCGGAAGATATCGAGAATGTCGTCGACAGAGGAGCGGAGGTTGAAGGGGAGGTGCTCGAGCTCGAGGCGGTCACACAGAACCCCCTATGAGTGCAAACCACTGTTTGAGCCCAGGCACACAGCACACTCACGCTCGAGCCCAAGGTCCTGCGACTTGGTGCGGAAGATATCGAGAATGTCGTCGACAGAGGAGCGGAGGTTGAAGGGGAGGTGTTCGAGCTCGAGGCGGTCGGCCTCGACCTTGGCGAGGTCGAGCACGTCGTTGAGCAGCGACACCAGCGTCTGCCCACACGCCTTGGCCATGCGCGCGTGCTCCTGCTGCTGCGCGTCCAGCTTCGAATCCAGCAGGAAATCCAGCATGCCTGGGGGGGGGGGAGGGGGAGAGGGGGAGGGGGAGGGTTGGACAAAGGGGACAAGGTGACTTGTGAGTCGAACCGAGAAGAAAGTCGAGCATGCCTGTGGGAGAGGGGAGGGGAGGAGCGGGCGGGCGAGGGCTGCAAGCAGAGAACAAGAACAGCTTACTCACCCAGCATGCCAGCATGTCAGCACGCGCGATGCATGAGGGTGTGGTGGTGTGGATCTTGTGCAAGACCGTTGCCAGGTGCACGTTCGGGGCATCATCCTCCTGACGGCTCATGAGGCACCTTACTTTGCGCATTCTCATTCCGCAACTACAAGTACAGGACAAGCACGGCCCCTACTCACCCAGAACGCCATTCATGGGGGTGCGGATCTCGTGTGAGACCGTCGCCAAAAAGTTGCTCTTGGCCCTGTCAGCCGCCTCTGCACGGGCTTTAAGGGCCTCCATGCGGCGGTAGTTGCGGCGCATGGCGGCGTTCTGGCGGCCCATGGTGAGGAGGATGTAGAAGACGAGGATGAAGACGACGAGCAGCAGCACTCCCCAGGAGAGCGAGCTCCACCCCCACGCCACCGTGTCACTCTCCGTGTACCTGGTGGAGTGGGGGGTGGTTGGGCGTGGAGGCGAGAAGGGGGAAGCAAGGAAAGGGGGGAAGCAAAATCCATCAGCCCAATCCACTGCACACATCGACTAATCCACCCACCACTTCTCCCTCCCACAGCCCTTGGACTCACCGAAACCACGGCGCCTTCCTTTCCTCCCTTGTAACCTACCTATCCTTCCCTTCCTACTTCACCCCCCTCCCTTGCAACCCACTCACCGGCACCAGAGCTCGTACTGCCGAGACGGGTCCCGGAGGTCAATGGGCTCCACGTGGCGGAACCTGGTTGGCTGCAGCAGCTCGTCTGAGGCGGGCGCCACCGTCTGGTCGGGCAGCGTGGTGTAGCCGTCCGTGCGCTCGCTGTCGTACATCGGGATGGGTGCAGTGCGGTTCGTCACGTCGTACAGCTGCAGCTTGAAGGGCGCGGCTGCAGTGGAAGGGGAGAAGGAGGGAGGAACGGGAAAAGGAGAAGAGGGACAAGTGGGGAGGAATTTAGGGGCGCTTAAAAAATCATCTGGTCGGGCAGCGTGGTGTAGCCGTCCGTGCGCTCGCTGTTGTACATTGGGATGGGTGCAGTGGGAGCGACTCACAGGAGTGAGAACAACTTGCAGAGATTATGAGCTTAGACTCACAGGCAGAGAGCAGCTTCTTGAGAAGGAAGTCGATGAGTGCCTGCATGTCAATCACCGCGCCGATCATGCCCTTCATCTCCTGCCCGCCGTCTGTTGTGTTCTTCAGCACTGGGAAGCCCAGGCCTGCACAGCACATGGCACGGGATGGACAATGGAAGCATCCCAGTGAGGCATCAGGGCAGCATGAAAGCTAGTAGCCCAAATGGGTTCTTCACCAATGGCCTATATGGAAGCCCAGTGGGACACGTGGCGCAGGCATGGCATGGTAGGGCGTGGGATGGCAAGAACGGACAGGGAAAGCATCACAATGGGACAGCATGAAAAAAAAACAAAAAAAAAACACACATGGACATACCGAGGCCGCGGTTGCCATTGGCGAGGAGCGAGAAGGTGGGAGTGATGGTGATGTTGTGTGTCTTGATGCCATGCTCTATGGCCTCCTTGTACCGATTGTACTGCCGCCCGTCGTAGCAGCAGTCGCTGTTGTTGGTCCGCGAGCCCTCCGAGATGTAGAGAAACACAGCATACCAGTCGCGTGGGGGCGACGGCTCCTTCGTGCTCTGGCTCTTGATCGTCACGCCGAACTTGGACTCAAATTCGGCTCTGTGGGTGGTGGGAAGTGGTGGAAAGCGGTGGGAAGCAGTGGGAGTGAGGGTGGAAAGAGTGACGCACCGAGGCCGCGGTTGCCGTTGGCAGCCAGAGCGAAGGTGGGCGTGATGGTGGTGTTGTGCGTCTTGACGCCATGCTCTATGGCCTCCTTGAAACGGCTGTACTGCCGCCCATCGTAGCAGCAGTCGCTGTTGTTGGTGAGCGGCCTGCGGGAGATATACAGGAACACAGCGTACCAGTCGCGCGGGGGCGACGGCTGCCTCGTGCTCTCACTTTTGATCGTCACGCCGAACTTAGACTCGAATTCGGCTCTGGGGGGCGGCGGGGGTGGGGTGGGGTGGGGTGGGGTGGGGTGTGGTTGAGGGTGGTGGGAACGTGCTCTGGCTCTTGAGTGTCACGCCGAATTTCGGACTCGAAATCGGCTCTGGGGAGTGGGAGTTGTGGGATGGGCAGGCAGGGAAGGAGAGGACAGAGGAGGTGACTTCAAGTCGACTCAAAAAGTCACTATGCGAGGGCTCACCGCTGGGCGTGCGACCCACTGCTCTAACCCCCCACCCTCCTGCTCATCGCTGGGAGTGCGAGGGCTCACCGCTGGGCGTGCGTGACGAAGACAATCCAGCTGATGGCGGAGACCCAGGGGCGCGCGTAGCTCGTCTCGTTCACGTACGCCTGGAAGCTCTCCCGCGTGATGCAGCTGCCGTACCCCCACGCGTTGCCGTCCGCCGTCTCGCCGAACACGTCCACCAGCCCAGTGAACACCTGCGGGCAGCGGCCGGAAAGGGGAAGGGGAAAGAGGGAAATGTTATGGGAAAGGCATGATGAGGCGCAATCAGCGCGTGATGCAGCTGCCGTACCCCCACGCGTTGCCGTCCGCCGTCTCGCTGAACACGTGCACCAGTAAGGTAAAGACCTGAGAGAGAAAGAGGGAGACAAAGCAGGGAGAAATGCACTCTTCAAGACAGATGCGAGCGCGTGATGCAGCTGCCATCTCGCCGAACACGTCTACCAGGGGAAAAGGGGAGAAGGGGGAAGGGGAAACGGGCGCTTGGCGGTGTCACACGGGAACAGGATAACTTTCGAAATGCGCCTGCGACGCAAGGGAAGGAAGGTCCAATGGTATTCCGAGGAGAGAACCGCGTGATGCGCTGCCGCCGTTACCGTGCGCCGCTTCCCCGGACGCATTGACGTGCGCCGCCTCACCAGACGCATTGACGCGCGCCGCCTCACCAGACGTCTTTACGCGCGCAGCTTCCGGACGCGATAACGATGCCGGTAACGGGGGAGAGAGCGTCGTAGATGGTTTCGAAGTCAATCCGCGAGGATTAGCGTTCGCAGGCTGGGTTACCCGTGGGAAGCGTACGTTGGCCTTGCGACGACTTGCGACGGCGGTTAGTGAGATGAAAGACACATTGAGTCGCTAGTAACGAGACTTGGCAGAGAGAATGCAGCGGCAAGTCACAAGTAGGGAGACTCGAGCTTGAATGGCGTCGACAAGCCATGGGACGGTCTAAAGAGGAGGGAGGCGGGATCGAGAGATCGCGAGACCAACCCTGCGAACGACCTTGAACTCTATGAGAGTGACGTTGCGCGACATTTCCGCGAGGCCTTGCGACGTTCTAGCGAGGTCGTGCGACGTTGAATGAACGCCGTGCGACATTGTAACGTGGCTGTACGACGTTGTCGCGGGTGAAAACCCATCGCCGCAATAAGCGGGGATAGTAGTCGTGGAGCCAATCATACTGTAGCTACATTGAATGCACCCGAGTGTAGGAGCGACGACAACGACGGAGACGGCGATGACGGCGACGGCGACGGTGACGGCGAAATTGGTGACCAACAGCAACAACCACCAAATCTTACATGGCGTCTTCCTGACGCGCATTGCTTGATCCAGTTGCATATTCCGTCGTGTTGGTCGCACAAATACACATCGCATTCTGTCGCACAACTCATCGCATTCCGTCGCACAACTCATCGGAGTCTGTCGCGCAACCTCCACACCCTGTCGCAATCCACGCCATCAACCGCACCCTCATTTCGGACGGTATAGAGGAACCGCTCTGCACCGCACGATGAGCTTCTTATCGCCATCCGTTAATCCCATTCTATTCATTGGGAATGAAGGCTCAGCAGAAAGATACCAGAGCATAAAAACAGATCTAAGACCAATTTGTACAGAAGAGAAACGCAGCATTGTCACAGAGACGATTACTAGAATGTAGGACGGTCGCGACTCACCATCGCATGATCGCTCGACGACCGAAACTGATGCACGAGCGATCGCGCGCGTTCACCGCACCACGTCAGCAGGCTCGAGTACCGCTCGTCTTGCAGCGCGCTGTGTGAATACAGCACGGTCCACGTGGCAAGCGCTAAGCCACCCAACAGCCACGCCACGAGGAAGATCGTGAGCCATTGTCGCTGCAGGACCACCCATGGTTGCACCTTCCCGCTCCCCTTCCCCTTCCCCGGTCCTGCCTTCCCCGCGCCTCGCGGAACCTTTCCGCCGGATCCGGACGGCGCAGATGCCACCTGCGCGGGTGGACTGGGGCTTGGCGGTTTGGCGTCTGAGTCGGCAGAATCTTCGCCGTTTTGTGCGGCGTCTCGGCGGAAGCGCGGGAGGCGTTGCGAGGAGCGCTTGAGTGCAAGAGCTAGCCGCTGACCCCATCCCGCAACCGCGCGAATGTCTGGAGCCATTGGGCCTCGTCAAACAATGTAGTTAAATAATGACAATAAAATAGTCAAATATTATAACACCTGCTTAAAAACCCGAGGTTACGGTGAATGAAAGTCCTCCACTCAGCGAACTAAGCGGAGCAAGAATGGGTCTTGGATTCGTGACACGACCACCATAGCTACCAAGCAAACCCTAGCCGAAGAATCAGGAGGAACACACCCAAAGCTGAGAGAATCACTGAGGTCGAGTTGGAACGGAAGGACCCATCAACCAAACACCACCACCACCCACGCATGATTCACCACCACTGCCATCACTCAAAGAGAGACAAAGATACTGATGATACACTGTATGGCGTTTCTGCCCCAAATCCCTAGTCCCCAGTCTTGTGTATACACGTTTGCGACGGAGCCAGGCAAACGCCCACGCTTTTACCGAGGTTCTGCAACCAAATTCGGTGGCATGGCATCAGGTTTGTCCACACCGAACATCCCAGCGCAAATCGGTCGTCGGAACCGATTTGCCGGTGTCGTCAGAGGGGGTCGTCGGAGCCGGGCCCGACGAGGCGGGCAACTGACGCGCGTGCGGGCCCGCCAGCCTGGCCCAGGGCCGGGCCGAGCGCACGACCGCCGCCCCGCAACCCCCCTGCGTGATTGAACAGCGCCCCACGTTACCGGGTGGGGGCGGCGAGCTGGCGAGCCCTCGCGCGAGGGAAAGTAACCCTCGCGCGAAGGCAGCCCTCCCGTGCCCGCTGCCCGCGACATCCTAGTGACCCTCGCGACCTGCCCAGACGGGCAGGCGAGGGCCATGCGAAATTCGGGTGCTCCCCTCGGGAAGCTCGACGATTTCGCGACCCGTTGCGGTGACGCCGCGTGCTCGCATGCGGGTTCGCATCGGGTGCATGCGAAATTTCGAGCCCGGCGAAATCGGTTCGCTCGCATCGCGGCGCGGGGTTTTCGCGATCCGGGGCGAAGTCGACACGTGTCGGCCGAAACGAGGCACCGCGCGCATGCGAAATTGCGTCCCCTCGCCGAGCGAAGCCGGGGGACGCGAAGTCAACGTGCTGGCTCGGCGGCGAAGGAGCGCTTGTGCATGCAGCCCGCCAAACCCTGCTGAGCCAGGCACCACGAACCCTGGGCGATGCCTCAACCGGCCTGTGGGGCACCGACTCCCTTTCCTTGGCGGAAGGAGGCATCGCTCCTCATTTTCGGCATCTCGTTTCACTTTCAACATTACTCCCACATTCTCGTCCCTTCTTAGCCTGCAGTCAATTCCCTTCAACGCAATGGAGGCCGACCCGAAAGCCGGCGAAGCGGCGCCGACCGTGCAGGACTTCCCTCTGTATCTCGACCTCGGTAGTGGACTCACTGCCAAGCTCGAGGAACACGACTACGCCGTCCTCGTAGACCATAGGCTAGAGTTCAACGCCCGTTGCTTGGGATTCGGCATCAAGTGAGTCTGCGTATGTGGATGTCGGCGTCGACATCTTCTTACATTGCTGGTCGACGCAGCGTCGGTGTTAGGGTTGTCCCACGTCGGAGGTGGCGCTACGAGTTCACGTCGACGCCGACAGTAGGTCGGTGTCGGCACAGGCATTAGGCACGCATCGGTCGGCTCAATTGATTACAACGTCGCGAGGGTGGTGCACCGTCGTACGATTGCCATCCCCGTCGGTCGGCGGTTCCTAAACCAACGTATCCACCGTCGTGTCGTGCACATACTCACTCACTCCTTATTCCCATGCATGCGTGCAGGCACGCATGGACTCGCGCGGCGCCGGCCAACATGCGATTGTGGTCGATAGGATTCGGCCGGCTTCGGGCGGCGATGGGTCGGGCGGACCACACATGCTTTGCGACGGTTTTCGACGCCGACGTAGCGGTTATCCCCTTGACTTCGAGGTGAGCTGGTTAGAAGTCGTCACGATGTGTGTTGCATCCTATGTCGGTGCTCTGTTCTGAACGACGTCGTCGTGCCTTGCCTGTGCAGCATCGCACCGCTTCCAGGAGCACATTGCAGCATCGTTGTCATCCTGTACCCCGGCGACCTGTTGAAGGGTGGGGGGGAGAAGATCAGGACCTCGATCCGGCACTTTGACCCGCAGACCGTGAAGTAGTGGCACTGCGACGAGGCGATCCGCGTGCTGAAGTGAGCTCGATAGTGTAGTCGACGACGCATGCAATTTCGCCGCGCAGCGTAAACCATGCTTACCGACAATCTGTGCCATGTTGCTTCAGGTTTTTCCGGGCGGCGGTCCTGGCCGAGCTTGGGTGCGATGGTAGGAAGTGGGAGTGGGCGAAGCCTTCCGATGAAGAGGTGGAGGACAGGCTCGCCGACTGCGATCAACCCGTTCGAGATGTGAGTTCCGAACGAATCACCGTCCTATGTCATCCTTGCGCGATGCGATTGCCGAACGCGGTGCTCATCCTTGCGCTCTGAACTGTTGTATGCAGAAAGTGCCCGACGCCGTCCGGGACGGGGACGCGGGCTCCGGCCTGCTAGCAATGAGCGCGTTGTGCTGGGTGGTGAGGAGGATGGATCTCCTGACCGGCGCCATCCGTCGCAGTGAGACCAGCATGGACAAGGTCAACGTTTCGGGGTTGAAGGGGCTGCGGAATGGGATGATAACATTCGTCAAGGAGCACGTCGCTCTCAAACGGTCGGGCCATGTCGGAGTTGCTGCCGACGCCTGTGACGACGACGGCTCGGAGGCCCCTTTGGCATCCACAGCAATAGGTGTCGCCTACACCGTCGATGATGCGCGTGGGACTTCGATCGGAGAGCCCGGAGGCGGCGTCGACAAGGAAGATGAGGAGGCGGGAAGGGCGGTGACTGGGACCGCGGAGAAGAACCAGGAGGATAACGAGGATCAGGAAGAGGACCATGAGGATCGTGAGGAGGAGGAGGAGGAGGAGGAGGAGGAGGAGGAGGAGGAGGAGGAGGAGGAGGAGGAGGAGGAGGAGGAGGACGAGGAGGACGAGGAGGACGAGGAGGACGAGGAGGAGGAGGAGGAGGAGGAGGAGGAGGAGGAGGAGGAGGAGGAGGAGGAGGAGGAGGAGGAGGAGGAGGAGGAGGCGGAGGAGGCGGAGAAGCAGCAAGAGGGGGAGCAGGAGGAAGAGGTCGAGTGGGAGTTGGAGGAAATGGAGGTGGAGGACGTAGAGGGAGCGGCGGAAACGGCTGGGAGGTCGGCAGATGTTGTGAACAAGGGAGGGGAGGATGCCGACGAGGAGAAAGTCGGCGTGGAGGAGGCTCACGGGGGGGGTGAGAAGGTCGTGGTCGGCGATGTGGATGGCGACGCGAAGGAAGTTATCGACCTCGAGGTCGTTAGGAGAAGGGGATAACGCCGCGGCCACGAAGCCGACGGGCGTGGAAGCGCCTACCGAGACCACCGCAGGGAAGGCCGGGGGGGAGCGGTCTAGGGTGAAGAAGGCGGCGCGCGGTCATCCCGGTTCCTCCGCATCTGGTCGGCAGGCACCGCTGGACGTCGTCGAGCAGCTGCAACAGGAGAACAGGCGATTGACGGCAGAAAATGCCCGTATGGAGAAGGCGCTCGAAGATGAAAGGGGTCGGGTGGACAGGTTTGTGTTGGGGATGCGGGGAATCCTCGACAAGCTCCAGTCGTTGGCCGACCAGGTCGCCGTCTCCGACCATAATGCGGCGAAACGGCTGCTAGATGCGACGTCGGCCGTGTCGACAACCATCACGGACAACATCACCAACCACATGGACGAATCGTGGAAGGCGATGAAGTCCTTCGCCGAAAAGGCGTCGACGTGGTTGGCGGAAATCGACGGTCCGGAGGGAAGTATGGCAGTTGAACGCGCAAAAGCGGTCGCCGCCTTGGGCAACCACGTGGAAGCGGTGGTGGACGATGCGAAGCTGGGTTTGGAGGACTTCATCTCGAAGCACCTAGCCGCCGCGCAGGCCAACATTGCCGCCGCGGTAACTCGCACCATCGCCGTGCCGCCGCCGCCCCCGCCGCAGCCCACGCCAGCCTTCCCGGACGAGCTCATGAAGTCGTTCAAGGCGGACGTGTTGAAGGCGGTGACGGAGGCCACCCAGCAGTCGTTTGTTGCGTCCGGGTTAAAGCTCATGACCGAGGTGATCGGCAATGTGGCGGCTGGTCGGCGTGCGTCGTCGCCGTCGGCCAATGACGCCGATCCCGCGCAACGAAGGGAGGCCGACAAGCAGGGCCGGAAAAGGGCGGGCGGCGGAGATGATGCAGGGAGCGTGAAGCGGAGCAAGGGAGCCGATGGAGGCCGCGGCGTCGGCGCGGTGGGTCCAGGCGGCTCGCGGACTCGAGGTCAGAGCGTGGTCGACCAGCTCAAGAAGAACGGGGCCAAGGTGATAAGGTCGCACAGCAAGGGCGATGGAATCGGGAGTGCAGATGGGGGCCATGCCGACGAGGTTGCCGCACAAGACGGCGGGAAAGGCTTGAGCGACAAGGAGATCCCAACCGCTCAAACGGCGATAGATGGCGGCGCCAGAACCGTCAAGGGACCGTCTGTCGGGGTCGCGGGGACCACGTCGATTCCCCGAAAACCCCCATGCGGCTAGCAGCGCGCCGGTCGGCCCGTCAGCCGCCAACAACGATGGGCCGGCCCTTGTGGCTACTCCAGCTGCAGTGGGCCCGTCTGCCGCCAAGGGCGACGCGAAGGATGTTGCGGCTAACCGCGACGGTCCGTCCGCCTCTAAGGTGCCCGCAGCGGCGAACGCGCTCAGGGAAATGCTCCACCGCATGGAGGCCCATCGCAAGGACGTGCAGCAGCCTCCCTTGGTCGATGCCGCCCCCGCCGAAGCAGCACGCCGCACGGTCACTCCGCAGGTCGCCGCCACAACGCCCAGTGCCCCACATACCGCGCCTCTGGTCGCCGCCCATCCAACTGCGGACCCAAAGTCCGCATTGCTTCGCGCTCGGTTAGGCGCACGTAGTGCGGCAGCGCCAGCACAGACTCGGCCGGAAGCCGGCTCAAGCGCGACGCCGACGTCGGTAAACGAGGCGGCGGAGAAGGGCGTGAGGGCAGCGCTAGCCACCGGCGGCGGAGCCGTTGACCATGCACAGGCGTCGATAGGCCACAACGACGCCGACATCGCTGCCATCCAGAACCTGTTGGAATCGGTAAAACGCCCCGGGCACCCCGCTGCTCTGGCCATCTCGGACACGGCGCATGTGGAGCCCTTGGCGAATCCCCCCGCTGGTTCAGCGGAGCCAAAGACGACCACTGATGCTGTCGGCGATGGAGAGTCGAAACAGAAGGGGAAGGCCGACACAGTGAAAGGGAGGGCGAGCTCTCAGAGGAAAACACGGGCGATGTCGGCCGAGACAGGGAGGGATAAGGCAAAGGAGAAGTCGGTGGAGAAAGGGAAGGAGAAGGCGGAGGAGAAGGAGAAGGAGAAGGAGAAGGAGAAGGCGGCGGAGAAGGAGAAGGAGAAGGCGGTGGAGAAGGAGAAGGAGAAGGAGAAGAAGGAGAAGGAGGAGAAGGAGAAGGAGAAGGAGGAGAAGGAGAAGGAGAAGGAGAAGGAGAAGGAGAAGGAGAAGGCGAAAGGACGGAAGGGTCATGGCATCCGCCACGACAACTCGGGCGACGGTCTTGGGTGGGTGGGCGAGATTAAGGTGCTCGGCGCTAATCGATACATCGGCAAATCGCGCGAGAAGATGGAGCTGGCGTACTTGCACTCGATTGCGTACATCGTCTACGACGGCTACGTCAGCAAGGTCCTCATGGCCGAGCTCACCGGCTTGGAGGAAACCGAGTTGGAGAAGTGGAGGATGGTGTGGGAGGAGGTCAATATTTTGCCGACAGGGATGTGGACGGTGATATGGGCACGGGGCGCGTACCTTCCAAAAACACGGTAAGTCGGATACCCTTTCGGCCGAGTGTTGATGACGATGTCGGAGTCACTAATGGTCGCTCGGTTTCATGTGATTGTGTGACAGGTTCGATGACATTCTCGGCCAGTATCGAGCGTACAAGAGCTCAGGCGATGCGCACCACGACGCGCTCTTGCCGGCGATCTGGTTCCCCGTCGATGCCGTCACAAAGGAAGGCCAGGAGAAGTCGGATGCTATGATGTCGGCCATGATAGGTCGCGTGTCCATGTGCGCTGCGTATGGGAAGGTCGCTGCGAGCGCGGCGAGGAAGGAGGGAGACACTGATGAGAAGACGGCGATTGCGGCACAGGCGTTATCGGCCTCCGCTTGCGCCGTGTGGTGCTTAGTCGAGAACGACGACGCCCAGGTGGTCGATGCTGTGGGCGAAGGGAAGGCGGCGGCGATGGTGGTCGGTGCGAGCGAGAAGACCGCCGGTGTCTTCAAGGAGGTCATGCAGGCGGTGCTGGAGGCCGAGATCGACCGGGAGCAACCCCTGGGGGAGGTTGCGCACAACGTCGCGCCGGCGCTGCAGAGTCTCGCTCTGCACCGGGTCTACCCGGGGGTGGATCATGAAGTCGAAGCCGACGTGATTGCTAGAGCGACAGTGGAGACATTGGCGTTCTGGGGAATGTGCCCCGTCGCCGGGCCGAAACTCGAAAAGATCGGCATCGCGGTGCCGTGTGACGCGCAGATGGAGTACGACATTGAACACAGGGGGAGGAAGGGGCAGAGAGGCAAGCAGGGCAAGGACAGCACGGGGAAGAAGGGGAAGAAGGGCAAGAAGGGCAAGGACAGCACGGCGGCGTAGTCGGCGCGCGGAGGGAGCGCGAGGTGGTCTGATTGCTAGTGTGTTTGTAACTTTTTTAGTGTTTGTAACTTTTTGTTTGTGTTTGCTTATGTGGTAGCGCATGTAACTTTTTGGTAGTGCATGACATGTAGAACCCTCGTCGGAGATGTCGACCTGATCGCTACCCTCTGAATTGCACACTCAAATGCTACTCGGGGATGAATTTTTGTCGGCGTATATGTCGGAGTCCGAAAATACGTCGGCGTCGTTGGATGTCTGTCGACATAGAGGGTTTGGCTGTCTGCAAGTATTTTCGGGGTGTTTGTTGGTCGGCGACCGACTGCAGTTACCATTGTTGGATCATCTATGTTCGCATGGGCATTGTTGTATGACCATCGTTTACCAACTTCATGAACAAAATAAGCATCATGGTTTGGTGCAATCGACCACAATTACAGCATCATCAAACTACGCGCACGCATATGCTCCGAAGGTACTCATGCCGCCTTCTTGCGCTTCGTCGGAGGACGCAGCACAGGTGCGGTCTGCCGCTCCATGTCCGCCACGGTCTTCGGCATCTGCTCCTCCCAGGTGTCTGGAAACAGGACGGCGACCCAAGCGGTCGGCTTCAAGTTGACCGCCACCAGCGCACAGGCGAGACGTAGCTTCGAGACCGACTTGGGGCCCAGCCCCTTGACGCCCATGCCGGGCTCCTTGGACTTCGTCGGTGCGGTTCCCGGTTTGAGCACCGTGAGGGCATCGCAGAAGGTCCCGATGCCCGGCGTCGCGATCTTGTTCAGGGCAGCGACGACGGCTTCGGTGTCGGCATCGCCGTCGCTCGAGCGAAGAAGGCGCACCGCATCCATGGCCTTCAGCATGCGGCGCACCTTCATGTCGTGTGCACCCTGCGTCGCGCCTTTGAGGAGGGTGTGGCGGTCGACGAATCCCGGCTCGGCGACCCTATCGCAAAGACGGCGGGTGTCATCGGCGGTGGCGGAGTTCCAGAGGCGCCAAGCGTCCCTCACGGTCTTTGACTCCCGCCAAGGTTGCACCACGTTGAGCTCGTAACGAGCCTCGTCGAGCGTCTGTGGGGGTTTCTCGTACCGTTTCTTGTTTCTGGCCCCCGGACTGGCCGAATCCGCGGAGCCACTCTCGCTCGGCGTCTGCTCGTTCCCCGACGGCGGCGTCTCCGGCATCCTCCGTGCTTCTGACACACGGAGTGCCTCGGTGAGACGGGTTATCTCGGCGGTCAGCGTCGCGATGGTATCGTCGCGCTTCTCGAGTTCATCCTGAAGGTCGATCTTCTCGACCGCGGCGCGCTCCCTCTCGTACTTCAGCGTCTCCTTGAGGGACATGTTATGGTATTCGGTGTCCAAGCGAACGGAGATTTCCTGCAACACAAGGCGGAAAGGCGAAAATTGTTTAGAATACACCCGTAACAGATAGGGTCCCGACGACGCCGACTTTAGCGACGGTTTACCTCTGCCTGAATGAGGGTTGGGTCCCGGCGTTTGTTGATCGTTTCGGTGTCGATCTTCTCGACCCTTTTCGCCCAGTGCTGAAAGAGGGCAATCCGGCAGAGCTTCGAACCTTGGACGTACGGGTGCCAAGGGGTGCGGACGAGCTTCACCGCGAGGTCCTCGGCGACGATGCGGCGCATCATCTGGAGGGTACGCCAGAAGTGCACGGCGGCTTTGTCGGCGTCGCTCCCTTCTTTGGCAGCTCGCGTTTCCGCCTGCACATCGGCAGGTGATGTGGGTTAGTAAGGCAATGGGCAGCCAACGAAGCAATGGCGACGTAAGGTCATTGTCGGCGTCTATTAACATACATCGCGCAGCAGAGCATCCACGCCGGGGAAGATGTGCTCGGCGATGATGTCCAAGAGTTTGTCGGAGGGCTCGACCCTGCTGCGACCCAAGAAGTAGTCTTGCTTGCAACCCGAGTAGCCGGCCTTCTTCATCACCACCCCAACGGGAATGGCTGTGATGTAAGCACGCGTCATCTTGTCGAGTGCCCAGTGACCCAGCTCGGCGATCTCGGCGCGAGGCGTCCCTTCAATGGCTAGCTCCTGCGCACCTCCGGCGCGAGCGGCGTGCACGTTCCGCTTGCAGAACACCTTGTTGGTCGTCCACAACTGCCGCGTCCAACGTTGGTGGCTGGAGGCGGAGAGCTCTTTTTGCTCCTTGTCGTTGCGGGCGAAGAAGAGGTGCTTCTTGTACCAGCGCTCGCGTTCGGTGGTGTCAAGCGGCGGAAGGAAGTCGACGCCGTTGAACTGACCGATCTGGTCGAGGATGAAGTGCAACCATAGGCCGGTCTCGCCGACGGCGCACAACTCCGCTTCCAGGTGTCGCGCCGCGTAGCTCTGCTGAAGACGGGCATCCTTGGAAGTCTTCGAGTTCCGCGCGGCGATCACCATGACGACCGGCTGGTTCTCCGGGTTTATCGACGAGGTGCTAGCCAGTCGGTACAAGAAGATGTCGGGGAGCGTGATCTCGCGGATGCTGGCGCCTCGCAGGAGAGTGTGGTGGGAGAGTAGCGTGAGCGCCTTGGTGAGCAAAAATCGCCACAGCGTCTGCGAAGGAGCGGTTGCCCGCGGGTTCCACGCCGACGCCGCCCATGTCGGCAGCACCTTCATCATGATCTGGCGGAACTGTTCGGCGGTGTATGTATCGCCGATGGTGCTGCGACGCCGGTCGGCACAATTCCTGCCCACAAAGCCACCGAGTATTTTGAGTTTGACGGCGTCGACTTCATAGTGACATGGACAGAGGTTGGCGGTGTCGACAAACTTACTTGACGTCCCTCTCGTTCTTGGTGCGGACCATGAACCGCACCTCCGATCTGACCACCGATATCTCCCGCATGATGCTCAGCTCCTTCTCCCGGTAGAGCGTCGCCTCCACTCTCGCCGCCATCTGGCATGCCTTTATGCGCCCGAGGAGCGTGTGCACCGTTGTACCTTGCACCGGCTGGGTTCGCGGGGCATTGTTCCCCTCCTCGATCGACTCGGCATCGAGCTGACACTCACGTATCATGAACTTCACATAGGCGCGCAGCCGGGTTTCGGTTACCCTAGGGCCGTGCAGCCAGATGTACTCTCGGGGGACCTCGGCCACTTTGTCCCAGTTCTTCTTCTTGTTGTCCCGGATGTAGTGGCCGATCTCGTCGACGTGCCTAAGCCTGTGCTCCTGGGGAAGCTTGTCGCGTATTTGCGTCAGCATTTTCGCCGCCCACCTCTTGTAATGGTAGATGAACGAGGTGTACAGCCTCAGCGTGCTATTCTTCTCCAAGGTTTGCAGGTGGCGTAGGGCGTCTATGACCAGCACGTCGATGCTTGCGTAAACCATGTCGTCCTCGACGAAGTCTGCTGCTCTCCACTGTTCGCGTGGCACCGCCATGTTCTGCTCGTCCTCGTCCTCGTCCTGTTCTAGCATGTCATCTATGTATTCAAGTTCCCGCCGGAGGCATTCTTCCAAGGTGCGCGGATTCGTGCTACGCGGAGGACGCTCGTCGTATTCGTCGTCGCTCTCCTCCTCCTCCTCCTCCGCATCATCAACCTGGTTTCCTGAGCCGCCCGGTACCGACGAAGGTCCAGGCTGCCCATCTTGCGTCGGTGTGGACTTACTAGCTGGCTTGGTAAACTCTCCTATCGGCGGTGGGGGAATGTCCTTGGTGAACTCCCCTTCTGGAATCTGTGTCAGTGCGTCAAGATCGTAGAGTAACTTGAGCGTCTCTTCGGGGGTAGAGGTGTCAATGTGGTCGGTTGGGGGACCAACGTCGGGCATGTCGACGTCTGCCATGAGGCCGCTCGTAGTTTGCTATACCGTCGACCGTGTTCGAGGTAAGGGATGGACCACCAGAGATGGTACTGAGTCGCGGGTGCGGTGTACACCCGATGAGTTGCTCAGGCGTCTTCGTCGGATTCTCTCTCAAGTGCTTCTAACTCAGCGGCGAGCTCGAGGCGTTCCAGCTGTGCTTTGATGTCGGCGTCTACAGAGTCGGCAGGGGGTGGGATGGGTTGCGGCTGTTGGGCTCTAGGCCGTGCTCTGGACATGCGTCGCCGACCTAGTTAGTTGTGATCGGTTACCTAAACACGCTACCGGTGCCGACGTGATCGATTGGTCGGCGCACGAGTAACCCACACTCGCGAAGATAGCTAGGGAGAGGAAAATTCAAAGTGGAAGAGGGAGCAGGAAGGAACGCAGGAACGCACAATGGAATGAGCACCAGCGCAAGGTCACGGAGGGGTATGGTCGTGAGCGACTCCCGATTTTGCCGCGCTTCACGCAACCCCCTATGCTTGTGCCGCTATGCATGTGTTCTCGTGCGGCGGCGCAGTGTCCGACGTGCCACGAGCCATGCATGGCTAATGGGTCGCCGCGCTGCACTCACGGGGCGTAAGCCTGGGCACGTCCACGGTGGTATGTGCGTGCGTTACATGGCGTGGGCCCATCATTGGTGCCTCTACGCAGAAATGCCGACATGCCGACTTCCATTGCCTAAGGGCACGGAGTTATTGAAGAGCCGCGTGGCAAGCCCACCGTGAGCCCTCGTGGTCGACGCCGACTTTCGTGGTCCGGACAATCTCGTTGGATCCTTAGTCGACACCGACATGGCGAGCAGCTCGCGATGCCAGACAACTGTAACATTTTTTGACGGACAGATCTTCGCCGCGTGGATCGGCCACCGACAAATTTGGGCGCGCAGTGGAGTTCCCGCGCTGAAATCGCGGCTCGACGTGTCGTGCTGTGAGTTTTTGTCCGCTGAGATGTCCTTCTCGGGTTTATCTCAGCGAAACCCGAGGTCGTCAGATCGTCGACAGTCCCGAGGTGTCAGGTCTGCCATTTCGCCCCAGTTTGCCACTCGGAGTCGTCGGGAGTTCGTCAATCCCGAGGAGGGCCGTTGTCCTATCGCAACCGCGAAATTGGGCGGCAGTTTTCGTCGGCTGAGGTATATCCTCCCACTTCGAGTACATTTGCTGGACCAGAACTGTACCAGTCAGCCCGCTGTTGTGCAACTTT